ATTACCAGGGTCTTTTGGGCCAAGCCCTAATTGCTACCATACAGATACACTGAGAGTAAGCAGATGGCCACCGCCGCTGCCAACTACATCTCCAGCAATGGCGCCAACTCTCTCTACACGTCCTACTTCAAGACCAACCCCACCACTACAATTAGGAACGTCTTTACCTCAGTTGCAAACGAGAACACTTCCAGCAGGACGTAAGCGAATATCACTTCGGGCCTGATTGAATTGTACACTGACGTCGTTTCACACCTACAGGATGGATTGCAGGGACACTTACAGTGCTTGCAGATCGGGTGTCATTGCGTACGCCGTTGTTGCGACCACGAACGTAAATACCCATCCACTCTCCTTGAGCGAACGAGAATACTGATACTCGTGCTCTAGATCTACTTCTGCCCTATCTTCTTCAACCAAGTCCCCCAGACCAGACTCTGTGGCGGTGGTACGAGCGTTGCCGCTCGCAACCTTCGTGGCGGAACCATGCTTCACGAGGTAAGCAGCACCTGCAGATAACTTGGATAGGAAGTAGCTCGATCCGACTGCCTTCACAATTGTAGATGACCCACGCCGTTGCCGGCACTGACGATGTCGTGTACGGATGCGCCGCCGACCGAGGTCTGAGTGCTGCTCAGCAACGCATCAACGCCGATAACTACAACGTTAGTTCATTTCTCTTTCAACCCATGAATACGTGACTTAAACTCGTTTTTATTACTTTTCAGTGCTTCGGAGCTGAAGTTTGGCTCGCCACTCGGTGCTAGATGAATATTCTGAGCGGGTATGTACATCGACCAGCTGAGGCTTTATAATCGAATTTTCCTTGTATAAGATGTCTATACCCTTTTTTGTACAATCTGAAGTAGCTTGTCTGGGATAACCGTATCGTGGCCTATCGATCTCTCCACGGGTTCTCTGACCCGAGCTCGGAGCCCACCGATCCTTCGTTCGCGTCAAAGACGCCAAAACCAAGAGAGTGGCATCCACTGGCAGACCTAGTAAGTGATTAGTGAGCATCGAAATCTGCTGTCCAAATTCACGTCGAGGTCTCAGACAGTGTCCGCAACCGATCGGATAGGAAGTCTTGCGCCCGCAGCCATGGTAGCCTGATTCACGATTTCTTACTTTTCAACGAGGTTCAACCTCAACCTCAACTTCCATTGATTTGACCTTTTGATCGTTAGACTCAAATTATCAGGTGTGTAGAGTACATGAGAGAATGTGTGCCATAGTATGTAATCCGAATCGCTCGAGATGTGGGGATTGATGGAAGGATCCACGAGACTTTTAGATGTGAGGGAAGGCGATGAACGAATTCCAGAAAAAATTACAGTGCAACCCAACACGAAATGAGAGGCAGACGATGGAGATACAGAATTGGGGAAAGGGGATACAGGGGCGGTGAGAATGCGACGATATGCCATGGTGCGACAAGATGACCCAGACCAAGGAACAGAAAAAGATACATGAAAACCGACAATCGCCCCCAATCATACAAGGGGAGAATAGACCCTGGTCCCCTGGACCATCTTTCCGAGATACGTAACGCTTGAAGTGGGTATTTTGAAATCATAGATGTACACGAACGTGCTGACCAAGGTTGTCGCGTCTGCTGAACGATTTGCCGCAACCAGGATGAGGACACTTGTGCGCTATCGGGAGAAGAAACAAGATAGTAAGCAAATGAAACGAGGTTTGCGGACGAGGAAAACTTACGTTTCTCCCAGGTATGCAGACTCCGTACATGTCGTTTCAGATGCTCACCCCTCACAAAACATTTCCCACACCCATCAGCGGTACAAACGTATCTCCTCTCCCCTGTCAGTTTCTTGATACCACCGCTGACGATTTTGTAGGCCTCGGTGACTCCGACGCCGGGAGGTGATGCGTCCAGGCTTTGAGGTTGACTGGGAGTGTCATAGATGGTATCTTGGTGATGCGTCCGCGTAGGTCGACCCCTCGGAGCGGCAATGTCGAGCGAAAGGTCCACCGAACCACTAGGGAAATCATAGGGATCATATCCTGGTAAAACGTCGCCTATGCTTGCGTCGTCGCCGCTGGATACAGGAACCTTTCTTCCCCGGCTCTTCTTAGTCAAGTGGGGAACGGGAACCGGATGTGGACGGCGTTGTGAGTGCAGCGACGTATCCTGAGCCTCACTCGGAAATCCTGGATAGCCTGAATTGCCCCAACCGCTCCCTATCATCCCCTCGCTGGTCGAGCTATGTTCCAATGTCCGTAGGGCTTCTGCATTCCCACCCCTCGACCCATAAGCATCGTGTCTCCCGCTCCTACCGCGGCGTCGACGAGTGCCACCTTCTTCGTCGGATGGTATGTAATCATCACTGTCGCCGTCCTCTTCGAGATCTGCATACTCCTCGTCCGAATCAGATAGATGTCGTGGAGGAGACACGACCGCCTCGGCAGTGGTGATGACTGCCCGATCTGCCTTGCGAGGCCTTCCCCTCTTCCTCCTCTCAGATAGAGGTGCGTCAACAGGAGAGACCTGACGAGTTCGTTTTCTATCGCCATATATATCTTCGAAGCTGGAGCTTCCTCTGTTTCGCTTCCCCAAACCTCCGGTGACCTCAGAGTCGAAGTCTCTCAACGGCGAGTGATACCCAAACTGACCCCCAAGACCAGCCTCGTAAGATGAAGACGAAGGATGAGGAGGAGGAGTAAACCTGGAGAACTGGTGCGACTGAACTGAATCAGGGAAGGATAGGGGGTAGGCGTCCTGACTTGGATGAACGGGCGAGTAGACATCGGACATGTTGACGGTGACGCCAGAGATATCGTGGCGATGGTGAAGTTGCAATGGAGAAAGCAAGCCGTCGTCTTGAGGGGACAAGTACGGTACTGCATGAGGAGAAGGTGTTGATGACAACGCCAAAGATGCTGAATAGATCGAGAGTGGGGAGTCGGGATGAACAGAGATCTGAGATGCCGATGACTCGTGAGGCGTATGGCTAACATCCGAGTAGGCCTGAGCTGTGAAAGCAGGAGAGGTAGGAACATGACCGTCCAACGAGTGCGGGTAAACTGGATGCGTACCGGAGCCATTCCCATCCGAATTCACGGTAGCGACACTGGACGGATCCGTGTCAGATGAACCGCATGAGCTCCCTACACTACGAGCGTCGCACGAAAGGAGCGTGTGAGAAGTAGTTGATGTCGGACTAGGAGTGGTGTCTGTGGTAGACACAGAGTCTACAGAGTTGGAGTAGTAATGACTCCCGTCGATGTGGTGTCTCTTCAAAGGTGGTAACGCCCAATCATGATGAGGGTGTACGTACTCCCCTGAGCCTTCAATGAGAATACCGCGACCGCTTGAGCTGAGAGGGTGATAGCGAGATTCTTCCACGCGTTGGTGATGCCCGCCAAGGTGAGAACGATGGTCTTCATCACCGCAAGGTAGATCATCGGGGAGATTGAGGAACTTGGACATGCCAGCCGACCATGAACGACTCATAGACGAGAGCGAGATCGTGGGTACAGGGAGATTATCTGACAGATCCAAATCCATGGTCGATGAGAGCATTGCAAACGCCGTTTATGGAGTTGAAGACGTGGCGAACGATGACAAGGAAGTCGTCGGCGCGAGGCAAGACGATGTGCAACAAGGAGGATAACAAGTATGGATGCAAAGATGAAGGAGTAACTAGATGACTGTATGGGTGCTGTTGGGAGAAAGCAATGTGATTTTTGAATGCCCCTCTCGTCCTTTTGAGAATTCCCCTCCGGCTTCAGCGAGTGGCTGTGAGTCTGACTCTAAGACACACTTAGCAAGACATATCGAGACATGACATGATTTTTATTATTTATTTTTTTCGGGGCCGTCGGGTATGTACTCACCTCTTTCTTTCTTTCAGACGATCGTGTGGCTAATTGTGGCATTCGCCTATCAAGCAAGGTGGCAAGAGAAGGTCGATACTTCTCAATGCTTGTCTGCAGATGTTAACGAAGAATGTGGGCCTTAAGCCGTGTGAAGGTGGGAGGATGACCTCATTGTTTACACCTATTTCTTCGATAAGCCCGATTTAGATGTCTTCGAGGCCACAATTATTTTCCAGGTTTTCAGAATCACTTCGATCTGACCTTCGATATTTTGTATACAACATAAGCTTCAGACGTCTAACTCTGAGGTGTATCTTGGGTGGAACTCCTTGCACTAAGCTCGTACTCCAGTATGTGCCAACTGCAATCCGAACCTGTCGACGAGCCCAGTATTCAAAGTTGTGAAGGACGTAGAATGCCCAGATCTACCACTGTATCCGAGTTTCCTGACGGGTAGCCTAAACAGCTCACTGGCACATGAGTAAACCGGACGCTGTGCTTCTATATGAGCCGAAGCTTTACTAGGCGGATGCCTGAAGAAGAAGTATCTTGTTCAAGTCTTCTCCTTGGAATGTAGCACTTTGGATCCAGCTTGACAACACCGATGAACGGCAGGCCGATCGACTTGGAGATACCCTCCTTTCTCCGCTTGCTCCGCGACCCATGGCTGTGAGCGGGTAAATCTTCCGAGGGTTCAGAGATAAACTTGCACCCACACGAAGTCCACCGGAATGGGCGGGTAAATTTAGAAGTAGAAGTGGCGTCTTTCGCGGCGACTTGCTCGAGGGATGTAAGGGTGAACCTGAACAACTCTTTCTGAGTCTGTTTGTCGGGATTTGGACACTTTGAGGTACTGTGGAAGCCCGTATAACCCTCAAAGTGTCCGTAACCAAACCAGTCTCCACTGAAAACTTGCCCAGCTCAACGAACAAGGTTCGTACTTGGTGAGTCAGGGTATACGAAAATGTCCTCCCGCTGCTTCTTCCGACTCGGGGTACCTGATTCGTGTGGAGTTACCGACAGTCTCAGAGTACTGCCGCGGCTTGCCGCTTCAAGCTTCAGGCCTCAGGCTTCGGGCTTCGAGCTTCTGCCGAAATCAGCGGTATACAGCCCAATTTTTCAAGATCTCGCTGGTCTAGAGGCGGACTCGAAAAATATGATGCATCAGCGGGGAGTCGAACCCCGTTCGCGACCTAACTTCCTTTGGATATCCTGTGGGAAGGTCGCATCATAACCGTTAGACCACTGATGCTTATATTACGGTAGATGATCATGGTCTTGTTCCGGATGCAGCCTCATAATCAAACTTAGTCCAAGGTCATCACAGCGTAGAATCCGAGCTTTCGCTAAGGAGTTTTCACCGTTCACAGACAAGTTTTGTCGTTACTTCGAGTCCGATGAATCCTCAACGCTCTACCACGATAATCGGACTTCCAAGCGCGATATTAAGGGGCCGTTCATATGGTTGATCGGCCTTCCTTTCCTAAGAGCTTCACGGAACCGTTTACGGAGGTACGGGGAGGCACAAACGATTGTGTCGCTATATCGCATCGAGATCGATCAACCCGTTGAAGCCGTAAGCACTGCGGAGACTGTTTTCAATTGCCAATTCGAGCCGCTGAAGAGGACTTGAATGACCGTGCCCACTAGGTACATGTGTAAGCGTTGAGTGGCTGATGATCTTCGTAATTTTTAGACGGCCCAGAGTTATACAGCGATGTCTCTGGACTATATGGTGGATTAAACTGAAATCCCGAGACCGGGAATCTTCAGCGAGCTGTGAGACGACTTTGACGCAAACGTACGTCGCATATGTGGACCCAGTCGGTTAAACGGCTGCGGCGTGTGTTAAACAGCCTGAGCTCTGAGACCACCGAGCATGGGTAACATGTCCTTTGTCCGAAGGTCATCGAAACTTGTGGAAGCGATCTCTGTTGTTAAGAGCGTCTCATGCGGTGTCTGTGGGTAGTGAGAAGGACGTAGGTTATGATACATATATCACTGCGTACGTGCCGACTCGGATTCGTGTACCATGACTCACGAGAAATTGTTAGTGAGGATTGTGGCAATGAATCCGACACATTGGAATGATAAAATTCATAGGCTAGTTGAGTTGTGGGTAGGACTTGAGCTGCTGGTAGATTCAGGAGTTTGGAGAGGGGCTGGTTCATTATGTGTGGCACCCAGCATCTGGATTGCTGGAAAGTATATATTTCATTACTATCTTCGGATTTTAATATATCAACTCACCTTTTTGATAACGTCGGGATAGATCCTAACACCCCGGCGCAGGACTGGTGGCTTCGGGAAAATAGACCAGAGACTCTGACAGCGGGAATGAGTTGCTAACAGTAGAGAGATTGATAACCGGTGCTTCAATTTTTCTATACGTAGCTGTGCTTGATGTGAAGCGTTTATGACGATGGGCCTTCCCCTTGGTCCTAGTAGGGGTATTCCTAACTCCGAGTTGGATCAACTAGATTGAGCAGCGCTTCGATCGCACCTGTTGTTTCACCAAGGTCCAAGATAAAAGGCCTCGAGTCGAAATCAAGCGAATGTTTGGCTAAAGGAATGTCTATTAGAAAGCCTGGTCAGCGGTGAAAAGGCAGAGATACTGAGGAGTGCCACGAAACACGTCAAGGACGAATCTGGCAGGTATAGGCATATCAACTGCTGCGTCACAGACGGTGTGAGATGATAGATCTATCCATTGAGGCCGAATGATATTTACTTGTCCTCGAAAAGCCCCTTGAGGCAGCGCATGAGTAGGATCGAGCCACCACGGTGCAACGAGACGTTACAATGAGTGGCCGTCAGACTCAATCAAAACTTCCGGGCACCGCTCGGGATGAGCGGGCGTGGAGAAGACATCAGCAAGGTGCCAGTATTGAGTCTCGGATATGAATGCCATTGAAGTCAGATCAGCAGGTGGGTAGTGTCCAGTTTCTGACACTCAATAACGTAGGGCCAATCATTGTGCTGTATGGCTAGACACCTGAGTGCTGTGATAGTTCTGATGGTGATCCCGTCAAAGAACGGGATGGTATGAACTTTGTTCCAAAAGCCCTGTTATTAGCCGAGCCACTCGTCGCCTGAAGGTGGATAGATCAAGAAGTTGAAAAGCTGTTTGAGTTGTTAAATTTACCGTTAAGAGAACTTTCGCTCCTTGAGCTGTGTTCCAGAGTCAACTTGTGCAGAGACGCGTCCGTCGTCGAGGTCAAGACTCAAGGCCCGGCGGAAAATACACGGAAGTCACATGAGGCATAGACGCCCAATCGTGTGAATATACTTCCATTTTCAGCAACGCAATGAAGAACGATATTCACATGCACGTTGTCGCTGTGAAATTCTCTCTCCTACCCCCATGACCCCCAACGACGATGTCCAGCGGTCAACACATTCAGCGAGCAGCAGCATTAGTTTGAGCTCAACACTCCTCGATGATCAGGATGAAGACGTCCAGATTGCAATTCGTGCTCTGGGAGACATGCGAAATGGAGTTGTATCGAAATCCTGTGCGTTCATCAGTATGCTCTAGCTGAATTCGCAACTGAATTCGTGTTTTTCTCTTCTGCCTTTTTGCCGTCTTTTTTTGTTATCTTTCAGCGTCGAGCTCGTCCAGTTTGCCCTTGGAGGCGTCGACATCGACCGCAGCAACGCCCTACTCGCTATCGACCTCAAATCTATCGTTGAATTTGAATTCAGAGTGTTCACCGTCGACGGAAATATCCTCAGGACCAGATTTTGCCTCAAGAGTTGCCCATATACCTCTCGTTCACGGTGCTTTGAGAATATATGAGCAGGGGAAAGCGAGCTCGAGAGTGGTCAAGGTATGCAGGACTGACCAGTTTCATGTGATTTTGACGCTGACTATACCCACAATTTTGCCTTTTTCAAGTACGGCGCCGAGATGATGGAATCCGGCGTGAAGACGATTTCAAGGCCTGTCATAGACAGATTGCCTTCGAATACCGTGGATGGTATACTCGATAGAGTGAGTTACACAATCGTTACCCCTCTTCTTCAAAAAGTTGTTTTGTCACCTCGTCACGTCCAATACCACAGGAGTATGCCACTCCTCGATTCGTGACTTCTTTTTTTTACCGCCTTTCTCCGTTTTGCCTCGTTCCCGACCTTCAATCTGATGCGACACTGCATCCTGTGATTATCTCCGTTTTCAATCTTCTCCGCCAAATCTCCCTGCGTTTGCCGCTTTGGCGGGCCCACGCATTGGCACACTCCAAGTTCTTTCCTTGGCACGTCATTCTCGTACGATAGGACTGGGGACTTAACCTGTCCCTCCGTATCCTATCACGGAAGCTGAGCAGCACAGCAATGATCCAAGCTCTTGATTGATCTGTTGGAATCTTCGTGTTTGCTGTAGCTCCCGTTGATCTAGGGAAGATGATGTAACCCTACCTGGATTCTACGCCAAAGCGGCTTCCCCTTCTTCGCTGTGGTTTTATGTTCTCTTTTTACCTTTACTATCCCCATATCAAGTCGTCCCTGCCGTGACAGACGTCTCCGGGGGCCCAGTGCTTCATCCAAATGTGATGCGACTTTGTGGCGAGGCTATTCGAGGAGAAGATTCCCCGTGATCCTCGCCACTGACCATCAGGGGAAGCACTTTGTATTGGTTCCGGTACCATCAGTTTCTATTCTCCCAGAGGTGATGAGAGAATGATCAAGATTGTGCATTGCCAAATATCCATAGAGGGGGGCTCTGGCACTATATCTTGACACATATCGGGGTTCTGGTTCCCCGTGTTGACCACCTTTTCTTAGCTTGCTCGTTGAGATCGTGTATCTTCTTTTCTTTCGTTTTCGTTTTCCACTTTCGGACTTTGTACGCCTTTACGATTTCTCTTTTCATTCTTAACGTCTCCTTCCTCTCGACCCACTACGATCGCTGTTACTGATTGTCCAATCTTCCTTCCCCATACACAATGTGCCCTGTACGACCCTCACTTCCACCAATTTCCTCCATACTCGCCCATATTCCTCAATGGCAGTTGGGTGGCCGACCACTTCGCTCCCCCCGCTCCCCCTTATCGCCCCGTGCAGAAACGCAACGACGACAGTTCACCAGAGACGAGCGAACTGACGAAATGCCTCGCCTCCCTTACGACAACACGGGTGCGGTGGGAACTTGGCTGTCCAGTAAGTTGTACTATTCGATGTCCTTATTTTACCCACCATCCGAAAACGTCTTGTGCGCACCGGGCGCGAGACCAACCACATGCTACCAAAGGACATTTGGTTGGGGTTTATTCAATGACAACGAACTTTGGGGATCTCCATTTTTGGATAACGATCCTTCCACGCTGTTTTCACATGCTCCGGCGTGCTAACGACCCACCATCCAGGTACCTCTCCCCACGCTCAATATCGACCAGACCTTACGAGAAGAAGGACAGGTTCCGATTCTCAGTCAGAATTGTCAATGAATGAGTTACCTTCTTCGTCGCGGTCAATCACGCCTACCATGTCCCCCAGTGGTTCCTACGACACCCTTCACCGCAGCTACAGGGACGAATCCAGAGCTGGTGCTGGTACTTCGTCTGCGATTGCGTATTCCTCTTCTTCTTCTCCATCCCCAGTACGGCGACGATCCTCTTCTGCGCACAGGCAAGATGATCGTTCTCGGTCGCCGGGCGATGCGGACACCCCTCGGTCGCAAACTCAACTGGCCACCAGACCAAGGTGGCAAGCCTTCCTGGCCCAGGCTGGCGGATTGGGAGTGGCTTTCAGCGCCGAAAGTATGAAAAGGCTGAGGTACTGCCTCAGCTGGTTGTTGGTAAGTCGATTTTGTTTTGTACACGTCCTATCACCCAAGGCTGACTGATTTACCGCTCGATTAGTGGGCCATAGATCGCATTGACTCCCATATCACCTTCCTGAGGGACTTTACTCTCTCTTTGCAAAACCATAATCTTGGTCCCGTTCAAGAGGAGAACGACGGCCTTAGTCCCATCACCCCAACACAGGCCTCCACGAATCATCGGCCGTCGCGGCGTCACCATCACACACGGACGCCCTCCTCGTCCACCATCTCGGAGGCCCATCACAATAAATTGCACGAAGTTCGGAAGGACCTTGTGCACACCGTCCGTCAGGTCGTCAGTGTCGTCAGTAAATATGCCGGTGAATCCTCTTTACCCGATAAGGCAAGGGACCATGTCAAGGGTCTCATCCTCATGTTACCGCGCAAATGGGCAGAGGCTGTCCGAGTCGGTGGGGGTCCCGCGACGG